GTCTCCGCCTTCAGGCCGCGGCTGCAGCCGTCGCGCTCTGACCTTGAGTTTTGCGCCGCTGAGCTCCCGCCTCTCGCCCCAAACGTCGAGGCCCTCCGTTTTCCATAACTACACGCACAGGCGTTGGGGTACAGCAGCGGATGGGCACATCTATGCATCAAAACTGGGGCCTTCTGCCAACGCTGAGCAACTTTCTTACCTGGGCCAAAGTCAGACTTCACCCATGCCCTGCAGAAGACAGCTGAAGTGGACAGGATATATTATTTACACCCATATCCTACATACAACCCACACAGCTGTTACCACAAGGTATACGTACGTGTATGCCACTCGGGACATGCCATCGCTGTAGGAGACAGGAGTGACACAGGTTCTTCAACCCCACTCTTATGGTTGGGTAATTGTCCAAAACTTCCCCCTTAGGATTTAAGTGCTGACGTGGACAACGCTTTCCATAAGGAACAAACTCATTTCAGTGCTCTCTAGGAAAAACATCTCATAGCACCTGCGCATTAATCTGAATGAAATTTTAGAGATGAGGGCATGACAGCGGCGTAAAAGTAAATCATCTGGTGCTTACATCTCCTAATACTCCTTATTTCCTTAAGAGGTGGTTGTGCAACACACCTGGCAAGCACCAACCCCCAGCTGACCAGGCACCTTGCCAAGCTGCACAGGTCCCTGCAGAGCTGGCTGGCCTAGAGACCATCTGTCCCCTGTAGGAGCAGCGATGGAGGCGACCAAACCCCAGGATGCTCTGGGAATGTTGATCTCGTGCATCAGAAGAAAACTGTCGGCTTCTGGACCGCCTACAGATACGGACAACTCTATTCTTCCTCCAGTTTAAATGCTTGTGATTGCTCCTTTTCAAAAATAAGATCAGTGCTTCAGTTATCTTAAAGAAAGTAATAATAAAGAAATTCTGACATACTCTCTGTACTGGTGTTATATTTGCATATATTAATCTTCCCCAAAATGCATTACATTTTTACATGTTGTGCAGAAGAACATCGCTCTGACAGAAACAGGGAGAGAATACGTGGGACAGAGCCCAAAGCCTTAGGACTTGTTTGCCTCTTGTTTATTTATGTAGAGTTACATTTTAAAAGCAGTGCAGTTACACAAAGGCCACAGCACACCTGGGGGAAGGAGGCCCCGATTTCTAACGAGTAACCTTGGGTTTAAACTAGCAATTAATTGTGAATGATTATTGACATTTATGTATCATCTGTGAGCGGCTCCTTGCTTTGTTTACCTATATTTATTTATGACCAAATAATGCTTGATCTGCTGATTATCCATGCCATTTGTTGAGAGTTATGCTTGATGCACATTTTTTTTTCTATTGTATTCACATATAAAAGCCTTAAATTTGAATCTGTGCTATTCCATCTCTCTGTGGAACGTGAAATTGGACATACTTGTTCAGAATTTAAAAAGTAATAAAGACGAAATGTATATATTATTCCTCTGTAATAACATTAGCAATTCCTGTTGAAGGCTAAATTACGTCCATGCTACAAACATTTGAGATGCCCATTTTATTAAATTCCAGAAGGTGGCAGCAAAATATTTTAAAATTAAAAAATTGGTTCATTTTGTTTTAATGTCCACTTTATTCTAGCTTCTTTTACATTACTGCTGATGTATATGGGATTTTTTGAAAGACGTTGTATTCATTTAGATCAATTTTCCAGCCTTGCATACACTATATAGAAGGACAAAGGTTTAGTTTCAATTGTTATGTTATCTACATGAGTCAGACAATGGGGCCTAATATCACCTGTATTATGAAATATTCAATGCACTTGGTAGGATGTGAAAAAATAAAAGATCAATACCGTCAGCACTGAAGAACTCAAAATGTGTGAAGATGTTTTTCTCAAAACGCATGAACATCAGGTCTGTGTCAAAGCGCATGAATATCAGGTCTGCACCTTCTAGCCTTACCTCAGACAAAAATCCCATCGAGACCCACTGAGGTGGATCTGAGTATAAATATAAAGGTTTTTAAGGGTCTTGCTTAAAAAAAAAAAAAAAAAGGAGGCTTACTGAGACAAAAAGCAGGAGATTTTATGGCATGAAAATGAGCATTAACATGGGCTTTTTAATTAATAACTGGTGAATATATCACAAGTGTGAACTGGACAAGGAAATGTACGTTTGAAGGTGAAGTTGCTCTTTCTCTCTCAAGTATAAACAGAGCATTGAGAAAAATACTCTAAATAATCCCAGCAGTTATATTCATTTGGCTAAAATAAACTTAGAGGTAACATTTAATTCTGCTGTCCAAACGCATGTTATTCTCTGCCATGCCCAGAAGCTTAAAAAAAGGCTTTTCAAAACAAGCATCATGATGCAATGTAATTCCAATCTGCAAGAAGGACGTTACATTCAGAAAGCAGTCGGGTATGATGAGTTTTTCGCATGGCTAGCTCATACGCATATAAACAACTTCCGGAAGGGGGTTATTTTATTAATGTGGCTAGAGTTTGTAAGATTGGATCGAGGATTTCCTCTGCACAAATGACACACGGGTTGAAACTTCTACCGTCGTATACTCTAAGTCATCCTAAGTCAAAGTATATAAACCCAGTATATATTACTGGTGAGAAACGGTATGCTGCTTGCTGTATAAACCCCTTACTGGTGAGAAACGGTATGCTGCTTGCTTTGGTATTCCTTCCCAAAGTCGAAAGTTGTATTTGAAAGGAGACTTAATGGCATGGCAGAATGCCCAAGTTGATGTACATTCCTGTAGAAGGTGATTTTTGGTGTTGGTTGCAAGGGTCTCGGCTCATAAATGACTGTTTCTGTTCTTGACATCGATGGGAATTAGACATCTAGCTAGGAGCGCATCTGGCTCTTGGATTTTGCATACATACTGGTTTAGCAGAGTAACGGAGTCAACGGGTCGAGTAGCTTCTTCAATTTTAAACAACAATGAGATCTTCTACCTGTGAGTCACTCTGCCAGACATTTTTAAGCACAAACATTAAAAATTAGCCTTCTCACATTTTCCTCCCAGTTCATATGAAATAATCTATTACAGTGTGCCATATTTCGCAGGGCTATGCCTGTCCTGCCGAAATATAATGTTCTTATTTTGCTTGTCTGGAAATAAAACCAGAAATACAACCAACCTTATGCCTTTAGGGTTAGATGTGCCAGGGAAGTCACATGCCTTCACTGCAAGTCGTCCAGTATAGACAAGTCTGAGCTGGGTTTGAGCTTTGCTATCTCGGATGGTGAGAGCAGCGTCAGTGTTGGGAAAGCATTCAGCATAGTCTAAGCACAGAAAAAACTATGTGGGTTCCTCGGTGAGTTTGTAGCCCGCAATGCGTGCTGGCCCACCTCAGCCACTCGGAGGCCCAAAGGTGCTCGAACCAGCTTAAAATCGCTCTGGAGTGAATGCAAAAACAGCCACCCACCACTGCAGAGAAATACGCAATAGTACTTCAGCCTTTTGTTCTCCTCACCTATATTATTTTGAGTAAATGTCATTCTTTCTCAGAGAACAATCTGTTCAAACTATGACATTGCCAGTCTAACTGGGAAGGATTTGAGAACTCACCTTAATTAACTTAATTCATATTGGCAGTCCTCTACCAGTATCCCTGGATTATTCCACAGCTGGCCCTGCAAGAGCTGAAGGACTTGCGTTGCTCTCTCTAAAAATATCTTTTTGTACCTCTCAGTCGCTTCTGGAAAGACTGATTTAGGTATATTTCTTGACCATCTGATTTTTTTTTTGAAACAAAAAACAATGGCTAAACTAATGCCCAGTTTGAACAGCTAAGCGGATAAGAGTAAGGAAATACCAAAACTGAGGATGCTAAAGTATCCTTTCCCCCCTTTCCTTTTGCATTTGTACTATGGTACAGTCTTTAATTAGGTGACTGAATTTAAATATTTATTAACTTTATTTACATGGCAAAACCTTTTTTCAGGATAAAAATATACGTCTTCTTTTTTATTTTTCTTAAAGGAAACTGTCATTATTCAGTGATTAACACAGCAGCTTGGTCCCCACTACGTAGAGAAAAGGGGTTACATTCCAACAGATTACAAAATAAATAACTATGTTTTTAACCACATCTGGGACCACAGGAAAGAAGAGCTGTCAGATTGAAACATCAGCTTAAAATTTAGCTTGACCTTTTCTTCATCATTCATTCCTCTAGAAAGTCTAATGATGTGAAAACAAAATATTTCTTATTTTACTAGAACTATATTCAGTGGTTTCCTACCATGTTTCCAGAAAGGAGCAGCTAAGTTTGCGATAATGCATTCTTAATGCATTGAACATAGTAATACCTGTAAAATGTGCTGTCATGGAAATCAGGTAGAAATCCATGTTGTCATCAAATTCATCCTCTCACTTTTGCATCTTGATCCTATTTGTAGGTAGTTAAAGAAGATGCTGTCAGGGTAAGGAGGTGTGCAAGCTTCACTTAGTAGATTCTTGCTCTCAGGCATATTACCAGGG